CTAATATCACATTCACTACTACTACTACTGGTAGATCACTGGGGAAGAGTTTAACTCTTGATTGTACAGTTGATGTGCTAGATGACCTATACAATATTAATGTTACTAGCAGTATAGTAAGAAATGGAGAACTTATTACTAGTGCTACTGGATCTGGTAATACTACAGCAATGATTATGATTGATTCATTAAGATCATCTGATGCTGGAGACTATCAATGTATTGTTAATATCACTCAATCTGATATAGACTATGAATTTGATGGAATAGAAACTGTCCAAGTGATACTAACACGTATGTTGAAATAGTTGAATTAATGTTTTATTTCTTTCTTTTATAGTACCAACTCCTTCAGTTATTGTTGAGTATAATGCTACTGGACATTTAGTAGATGGAGAACTAGCAGAAGGACAGTTTCTTGATATTATGTGTATAGCTGACATCAGTCAATATATTGATACTAGTGTTAGTTTTACTATGAGTTGGAGGAGAAATAACACTGTACTGACCAATGGAAGTGATTTTACTATCAGTCCTCCAGTTATGACTAATAATCAGTACACTGGTGTGTTACGTATTAATAGTTTAAGAGATGAAGTTGATAATGGTGCTAGTTATAATTGTTCAGTTAGTGTGACTCCTAATACTCCTTTTATAATAGCAGGGAATGATAATAGCAGTGCAGTTACATTAACTGCAGCAAGTAAATGAGTTAAAATGTATCATTATTTTTAATTGTATTTTGATAGGGTTTGATATCAATCATGTTGATATAAGTATCAATATTCCTTCTGTTCCTGTTGCTGGTGATGTATTCAATTTATTTTGTGTTATAGTTGCACCTCCTAATTTTGTTGAAAATCTTACTAGTGTCAGATGGAGTTATGATTTAGAAGCATCTCAAGATGTGACTAGTGAAAACAATGATGCTACACTAGTACCTGTTGTTAGAAATGGAAATATATTCACCAGTGTACTTACACTTGATCCAGTGAAGACAACTGATGCTAGACAATATTACTGTCAAGCAACAATTCTAGTGTTTGGTATTGTAGACCGTACTAACAGAGATTTAACTGTTCAAAGTTGGTTTTAATTATTATTTTACTATTTAAAGCACTTTATTCTCTCTACAGTACCTCCTCCCAGTGTATCAATAGTTGCTGATCCTCCAACTGGTCCAATATATGAGAGTACAAGTTACTTACTAACCTGTACAGCTACAGTAAACACTACAATAGTGGATACACCAATAACTGGTAATGTAGTATGGACTGATCCTAGTGGTAATGTAATACCAACTAATGAAGCAAGACGTCAAGTGATACCTCCAACTGGTAACAGTCTTGTAAGCACGCTATTGTTTCAACCTATTGATACTGGTTATAATAATGATGGAGGAACATATACCTGTCAAATGATCATCAATTCTGGTAACTCATTAATAGCATCAAGTCAACCTACTGATACTACCCTTCCTGTTACTGTTGAAAGTAAGTTATAATGTAATGAATACTGCACTTCATCATTCATCATTCTCCTTCACATTCCTTATCTTTTATCTCTTTTTTTCTTTTTGTCATCCCTTTACTCTATTTCTTACCAGGTCTTCCTTCAATGACAGTAAATTTCTCATCAGTTGGTTCAGTTGAAGTTGGTCAGAGTCTAACTATAACATGTACCATAACAACAGTTGAGAGATTAGTAGTAACACCATTGATTACTTTCATTAAAATGAATGATACAGATATGGAAATGCTCTCTAACTTAAATAGACCATACACTATCACAACAGATGATACTGGTTCAGTTACTAACTATACTCTAATACTGGATCCAGTGAGGTTTGAAGATGCTGGAATGTATACATGTATGGCTGAGTTTAATGTAACTGGTTTTAATAATACCAATGATCCTAGCACTGCTACTTATGACTATCAAGAGGCTAGTGATGTGTTTACGTTGAATGTTAACTGTAAGTTAAATTAGAAATTGTCTAAAATATGATGCTATATTTACATTGATAAGTGTTAAAATTATTATAAAACATTTTTGATATGAATAATGTGTTTATATCCTTCAGATTTATTTTTCTACTCTTCATACAGGTACTATTCTACCCTTTGCAGCTACATCTGTAACAACTATTCTTGGAACAACAAGTGCTAATATATCCTTTATAATACCAAATACTTCTTATGCAAATGAAAATTACAGCATCAGTTACACTGGGCAACAATTTAAGGCGACAAAAACAGTTTCAGGGACTAGGATGAGCTCTAGTTCTGTTGATAAACCTATCATGATATACATAGTCTTGACTGGTCTTGAGGAAGACAATGTTTATCAGTTTACAGTTGATTCTAGCAACTGTTTAGGTACAACCCACACTGGAGTGATGAATTTTACTACACTGCCGGCATGTAAGTCAGAACACTTTTCGATACATTAATACTCTTCTGTCCTACACACACACACACACACACTATCTCTTTTTTATATAATTATAGTGCCAGTAGGCTATCCCATGGATTGTACTAATATAACATTCTTACCAAGTAATGTCACACTTACCTGGACTGGACCAACGCTAATAGATCAAAATGGAGCACCAGTTGGTTATAATTTAACATGTATGAATACTAATGGTGTATCAGTCAATGGATTGAGCCCAACACAAACTTCAATGAACACAACGTTCACTATTACTGATGTTATGCCTTTTACTGGTTACACTTGTGAGCTGTCATTTATTAATCCAGTAGGAGAAGGACCCTCTACCCAGTGTACTTTTGAAACAGCTCAAGATAGTAAGTTATGTGTACATTATTATGTACATGTATACATTTAGTACATATAGTACATTAGTGCATAGTAAGTACATAGCCTGATTTGCTGTAATTTTCTACAATATAGGGCCAAGTGATAGTCCTCAAAATTTCACTTCAGTACCCAACAAAACTGCAGTTACTTTTACATGGACTAAGCCAGCCACTCCTAATGGAATGATTATCAAATATTCTTTAAATATCATCAATCAAAATACACTGAGAAGATATAACTATACAATACTTGTATCTGTGAATCAAACTACAGTGATACAATTAGTTGATGGTTTCAGTCCATATCAGAATTACACTGCTAGTGTTAGTGCTAGTACAATCATTGGAGCTGGACCAGTGGCTACTACTGCAGGCAGAACACTACCAGCCTCAGACAGTAAGTGCAGTAGTAAATATTAATTGAATGATTTTTATTATCAACAGCTCTTGATTCACCTGATTTATTAGTATCTCCAGTAATTATCAATGGTTTAACGGTAGCTTATACTGTACCAGTTCTTGATGAAACTACTATCAATATAACATGGAGTCCACCATCTCATCCTAATGGAGAAATCACTGGATTTATTGTTAGAATAGCTACTGCTGCTAACACTAGCCCTAATAATGTTCCTTTTGTGCCAGGCAAAGCTTCATATTTTCTAATATTTGGAGGATTAAGTTGGTATCTAATAGCAGTAGATATTGATAATGCTTGTGTTTTACAGAGGCAAGGATACCTTATTATG